TGATTGGGGTCTTTGATGAGTTGATGGTACGCCGGGGGTATGTAATATCTTCCTGCCAGGGACATACCCTGGAAGCATCATGGGTTGTGACCTAACAACATATAGAAGCAACATCGGATGCTTCACGGGTACTTTTGTCGCATTCATGTATGGTAGAGTGAAGCGAGTGATATCCACGCGAGTCGCCATGCTGCACGTGCCGAACGGGGACAGGTGCGCTCATGAAAGCGACCGTACTTGTCAGTGTTGCGCTTTTGGTGGAAATTCGAAATATGAGGAAAGAAATGTCTGAAAACTTTGCAAATTTGACACGAAGAATGAATAACATGGAACCAGATATCCAGTCGTTAGTCAGTGAAAATACAGAACTGAGAGATGAGGTGTCACATCTTACACGCAAAATAAACTCTATGGAAAGCCAGGCCAAAAGAAACAACGTGATTTTCTATAACGTGGAAGGACAGTCAGCTGAATCGTTTGAAGATACCCTCGATGCCGTAACCAAGGTGATGACCGAAACTATGAACATTAAATATGAAGATTTTGCAGTGCTTAATGTAAGATGACTACCTTCCAAGGTATCCGGTCCCAAACCAGTGCTCGTCACATTTGCCCAACCTAACCACAAGTCGAAAGTAATGATGGGGGCCAAATATCTGAAAAGCCAAAAGATCAGTGTGTCACATGACTTCACAGATGATGAGAGGAATACTCGGCGAAAATTAAAACCTTTTAAGGACAAGGCCAGACAAGATGGGTGTTTCTCTGTGATGAGATACACCAAGCTGCAGATAGACAACGAACTATATAAACTCGATGAAGCCATTCCAGATACTCCCAAATTGACTTTAGTTAGACGGTTCAAACCTAGACCACCCTCCAGTGAAAATATTCATGACCCAGGAGAAACTCCACCAGTAGGGTAGCATTCCGGACAAGGCCAGCGTGATGAATATTCAGGGATTACTGGAGTCTGGAGGAACATTAAAGGATTAAAATCAAAATTGTGTATTGTGATATACACAGTTGTGGAAACACTCGAACCAAAAATGAACACGCCATCAGAATTCCGGAGGACTACTTGTATTAGTAAAAGACGCTTTTTCTGATTTATGCACCGTTATAAATACAATACTGTGGCTTAAGATCCAAAGTCCTGAAAGTATGAGTGATGAAATATGTTTTGGGGTCTTGTATATTTCTCGCCACCCGACTCAAGTGCCTACTCAGCTGAACCTGGTGCCTACCAGCTGAACCTGATATCCTAGAGAATGATAATGTTATTTTCAGGTCAGATAACCAATGTTGTCATGTTGTAGTCAAGGGTGACCTGAATGCTAGAACCAGTTGTCGCCCTGATTATCTTGTAAACGATGACTCCACACATCTACCCGTCGATGATGACGTTAATTGTGTGGAAGATAGTTACTTTTTACCTAGGTCTTCACGGGATAGCATTATTAATAAAAGAGGCCATCCCCTATTAGGCTTCTGCAAACTCACAGGCCTTAGCATCTGTAATGGGCGAATTGGTGAAGATGTAGGGATTGGTACTTTTACATGTTATGCTAACAACGGTCACAGTGTGGAAGACTATGTTCTAGCGACTGAACATTCTTTCCATTGTTTTCATCTTTCTCGGTTGCGAACCAAGTAGAATCGAGCCATTTACTGTGACTTTCGCATTATAATTTACAATAATAAATGAGAAATGTGCAGAAAAAAATGTAAAACCAAAAAGTCGACTATATTGGAAAGAAGAGTTGAAATCAAACTTTAATCATAACTGGAATACTTTACCGGTTTGTAGAACTAGTGGATTCTCAGATAATCCTGCCAATTGTAGAACAAGAGCTGTAACTTCATTCGTAAACATTATGCAAGCCTGTGCTAAAGGCTGTAGAGCTCCTCAGTCAAGCTTACGTAGAAGTGATGATAGAAGGGGAGGTAACTGGTACGACAAGGAATGTGTTGAAGCACGAGCCGATGCACGCAGGTTGTTGCGTGCATTTCATGCCTCCAACAGTAAAGTTGATAGACAGCTATATTCACCGGCATGGAAATACTATAAAGAAATTTGTGTATCTAAATGACAGTATTACAGGTCAGTTTTGGTTGAAAAACTGGTGTCTTCTTTAGAAAAAAGTAATAATAAGATATGTTGGTCTTTAGTCTCAAAAAGGACTTGTGTCCCCTTTAAAAATATATCTGTTAATCACTGGAGTAAACATTTCGAGTCAGTGTTTCAAGGTTGCCGAGAAAGTGCAGATTTTGTTGAGTTTTATAATTTGTAGATGACTTTGTCAAATCCATTGGTGATGAGTTGATAGAAAATACAGTTATTCCCGAAAGTGAGCTAGACACTGTTATTACTCTAGAGGAATTGGTACAAGCTCTTGGAGATATGAAGTGTGGCAAAGCTCCTGGTTATAGTGGGATACCTGTGGATTTCTTTAAGAATGCCCCACCTAAATGTCTGGACATGTTATTACAATTATTTAATGCAGTATTCATAAGTGGCTCTTATCCAGATCTGATCAGTGGTCTTATGGCGTTATACTTCCTATCTTCAAGAAAGGTAACCCAAATGATCCCTCTAACTATAGACCTATTACACTTTTAGAAGTAGCAGGCAATTTTTTTGCAAACGTTGTTTGTAACAGACTTACAAAGTGGTCTGCTCTTTAACATTTTATAACTAACGAGCAAGCAGTTTTTAGAAAGGGATTCCAAACTTCCAAACTTCCGACAATATCTTTATTGTAAATACTTTATTAGATAAATATCTGTCTCTAAAACGCGGCAGGATGTATGGTGCCTTTATAGATTTGAAAGGAGCGTTCGACTCTGTGTATAGGAATGGCTTACTCTTCAGATTGAGGAAAGGAGGTATTAATGGTCGAATGTTTAGATTAATTCGTAATATATATATACTAGCCACATAAAGAAACGGTGCACGGAGAAAATATATTCTGGATTGAAATACAACACAGCAAGAACAAAATGATGCAGACGCTGTAGCAGCTGAATGATCGGACCATAAGAAAATGTCAACGGGACCTGAACAACATCTGTTACGTTGACGTCAGAAGATCAAAATGGAGTAGGGGGTCAAACGACAAAGTCACAAAGTCAATAACGGGTATGACCACCCTGTGCGTGAATCACAAAAGGTTTTGCATTACATAAAAATTATAAAATTCTGGTTAAGGTCATTGTCAGGTTAATGTTATCATGAAAGGTTCTTATGATTTTAGTATAGAAGGGCAGAAAGTGGTAAAGCTTGTTGGGCTACTAATGTTAAATCTTTGTTATATTCATATGGTTTGGGGGAAGTTTGGTTACAGCAAGGTGTTGGAAATAAAAATGCATTTCTATTGTGTTTTAAGCAAAGATGTAAAGATATCTGCCAACAAACATGGAATAACAATTTAGAATGTTATTCTAAGCTGGAATATTTTTGCTCTGTCAAGGAAAATTTTAATTATGAACATCTGACTAATTGTATTGATATAGCCATCTATCAAACAACACTTGGTATAGGTTTAGCTGTTCTAGTCATAATCTATTGGTAGAGGCAGGTAGGCATTATAAAATACCAAGGCCAGAACGTCTTTGTCTGTTTTGTATTGTGCCATATATAGAAACTGAATTCCACTTTTGTCTCGAGTGTCCATTCTATTTGAATTTAAGGGAACAGGTACTTCCTTAATATTATTGCATAAGTCCAACTCTGGATAAACTAAAACAATTATATAGCTGCAACCTCTATGTTATAAGAATATTTGCAAAGTATGTATTTCTCGCTCTCAAGAAAAGGAACACTCTTCTTAAAGATGTGCCTGTCATGTAGCACTATGCCATTATAACAATGTGAGACTGGTTGTTGCCAGTGTGTGTAACATGTGTTGGAACCCGATCCACGGGGCGTTTGTGGGTTATGACCGGCCTCAGTAACCTTATGTGCATCCTTCTTAGCACTCCGATGAGTGTTGACCGCTTGCTCAGGGCTCGCGGGCGCTTTTGTGAATCGGTTCCCTGGTGTAATAATCAGCGCTCTCTGTACATGTGACTTGACTTATCCAATGTACCTTGTATAATGGGCCGGTGGCCCCTTTACGGAATAAACTCATTCATATAAGGAATTTATTGGATTGTACAGAAGACAAGTATATAGAATTTGTCAACAAAACATTTGTATGGCGTTACAGCTAACTATTACAGCTTAGACTTGACATGTTCTCTTTGGGGGTGATATTTTAAGGGAAAGTGGAGCGTATTTCATTATTCAAAATACTTGCGTTGGGGAACAAGACAAGACATGCATATATTCCCAGAAATAAAAGTTAGGTTAAACACATATATCTACCAAATAGAAAGGTAAAATCCAAATGGAGCCCAGAACAAAATTTTAAAGCTTATTTGAGCTGAAGCAATCTAGACTTGCCAAATGATTCTAGACTTGATTTGGATTCCATTTCAATTTATTATCCAGGTATATCTATTGCCCGGTCTAGTACATTCAAGAAACAGACAAAATCTGTTGGGAGTTTGTACACTTGCTAAAATGCAAATATTTACAATTTTAATAGAGGGGCAAGGTTTAAAGCCGCAGAAATTTCGTACTTGTGTTTTCTATTGGTGCCAAGTCTACCTAAACTCGTAGGCAAAAAGAGCTGAGCTTGCGTATATGCATCGTGTACAAACAATGGAACCAGTTTAGCAAATCTGCGAATGTGTCGTCGCATTCGTGACCAACACGTGTTATTCCGGGACAAGCCGAATTGGTTACGGAAAGGGGCGAGTAGTGACGAATGATGTCGTCGATCAAAGGTTTGACCATTGAACTTTAGTTAAAATATTGTCTTCGAATGAATTTGGATAATTATGGTCACCATTTTGTACAGCATAAATTAAATGTCATGCTAGAAGAATCAACTCAGTGTTTATTAACGATTTAAACTGATACAAATGTTTTGGAACGGGTCTTCTGAACGCGTCTAAGAGTTGAACGATCGGCACCGTTGCCTTCGTGAGGCCGGGGTGTCGCCGGCCATGCGAGAGACGTATATCTTGGTTCTGTGGCAATGGCAGTACCTACCACAGACACCCTGGGACACTGTCCTGGATAGACTACAGTGGTCTCAGTGTGTGAACTGTCTTGTTTGTGTATCATTGCACCCTGACGGTATTTAGCTTGACAGATGACATCAGTACCCCCTGTCACCTGTTTTCGTGAGTACACTGTTTCGTGGTATTTTAATATGACGCCCTGTAAAACAATTTACAACGCCAGCTTCAGCAAGACTGCATGTTATTGTATATATATATATAATGTAGCTCCAACGGACTCATCTTCACTGATCTTGCTGCCCTAATTCCTAGGGTTCAGCGACTAACGGTATCTATCGGGTGATCAGATGGTCAGAGTCGCTGACTTGGTTGATGCATGTCATCGTATCCCATGGGTTAGTTGTGCTATCTCACCTCTGTTCAAAATGTGATGAATGGGGTGAGTGAAATTGTATTTGAGAATGGCGATCTGACTCATTCACTGGTTGCCCGGCCCGTGAAGATCCGGGATAGAATAGGTCTTCACCAACCCATTCTTGCCGTAAAAGGCGAATATGCTTGTCGTAAGTGGCGACTAACGGGATTAGGTGGTCAGGCTCGCTGACTTGATTGATGCATATCATCGATCCCAATTGAGTGAATCGATGCTCATGATGTTAATCACTGGATTGTCTGGCCCAGACTCGATTATTTACAGACCGCCGTCATATAGCTGGAATGTTGCTGAGTGCGGCGTTAAACAACAAAGCAAACAACAGAGTGCCCCCTTGATAGAGCCCCTCTAACCTGGTCACACCTGACACTTGGTGTAGGTCAAGTTGACCCCCCTGGTAGTCCCCCTCTAACCTGGTCACACCTGACACTTGGTGCAGGTCAAGTTGACCCCCCTGGTAGTCCCCCTCTAACCTGGTCACACCTGACACTTGGTGCAGGTCAAGTTGACCCCCCTGGTAGTCCCCCTCTAACCTGGTCACACCTGACACTTGGTGCAGGTCAAGTTGACCCCCCTGGTAGTCCCCCTCTAACCTGGTCACACCTGACACTTGGTGTAGGTGAAGTTGACCCCCCTGGTAGTCCCCCTCTAACCTGGTCACACCTGACACTTGGTGCAGGTCAAGTTGACCCCCCTGGTAGTCCCCCTCTAACCTGGTCACACCTGACACTTGGTGCAGGTCAAGTTGACCCCCCTGGTAGTCCCCCTCTAACCTGGTCACACCTGACACTTGGTGTAGGTCAAGTTGACCCCCCTGGTAGTCCCCCTCTAACCTGGTCACACCTGACACTTGGTGTAGGTCAAGTTGGCCCCCCTGGTAGTCCCCCTCTAACCTGGTCACACCTGACACTTGGTGTAGGTCCAATTGACCCCCCTGGTAGTCCCCCTCTAACCTGGTCACACCTGACACTTGGTGCAGGTCAAGTTGACCCCCCTGGTAGTCCCCCTCTAACCTGGTCACACCTGACACTTGGTGTAGGTGAAGTTGACCCCCCTGGTAGTCCCCCTCTAACCTGGTCACACCTGACACTTGGTGCAGGTCAAGTTGACCCCCCTGGTAGTCCCCCTCTAACCTGGTCACACCTGACACTTGGTGCAGGTCAAGTTGACCCCCCTGGTAGTCCCCCTCTAACCTGGTCACACCTGACACTTGGTGTAGGTCAAGTTGACCCCCCTGGTAGTCCCCCTCTAACCTGGTCACACCTGACACTTGGTGCAGGTCAAGTTGACCCCCCTGGTAGTCCCCCTCTAACCTGGTCACACCTGACACTTGGTGTAGGTGAAGTTGACCCCCCTGGTAGTCCCCCTCTAACCTGGTCACACCTGACACTTGGTGCAGGTCAAGTTGACCCCCCTGGTAGTCCCCCTCTAACCTGGTCACACCTGACACTTGGTGCAGGTCAAGTTGACCCCCCTGGTAGTCCCCCTCTAACCTGGTCACACCTGACACTTGGTGTAGGTCAAGTTGACCCCCCTGGTAGTCCCCCTCTAACCTGGTCACACCTGACACTTGGTGTAGGTCAAGTTGACCCCCCTGGTAGTCCCCCTCTAACCTGGTCACACCTGACACTTGGTGTAGGTCAAGTTGGCCCCCCTGGTAGTCCCCCTCTAACCTGGTCACACCTGACACTTGGTGTAGGTCATGTTGGCCCCCCTTGTAGTCCCCCTCTAACCTTGTCACACCTGACACTTGGTGCAGGTCAAGTTGACCCCCCTGGTAGTCCCCCTCTAACCTGGTCACACCTGACACTTGGTGTAGGTCAAGTTGCCCCCCCCCCCCCCCCCCCCCCTGGTAGTCCCCCTCTAACCTGGTCACACCTGACACTTGGTGCAGGTCAAGTTGACCCCCCTGGTAGTCCCCCTCTAACCTGGTCACACCTGACACTTGGTGTAGGTCAAGGTGGCCCCCCTGGTAGTCCCCCTCTAACCTGGTCACACCTGACACTTGGTGTAGGTCATGTTGGCCCCCCTTGTAGTCCCCCTCTAACCTGGTCACACCTGACACTTGGTGCAGGTCAAGTTGACCCCCCTGGTAGTCCCCCTCTAACCTGGTCACACCTGACACTTGGTGTAGGTCCAATTGACCCCCCTGGTAGTCCCCCTGCTAACCTGGTCACACCTGACACTTGGTGTAGGTCAAGTTGCCCCCCCCCCCCCCCCCCCCCCCCTGGTAGTCCCCCTCTAACCTGGTCACACCTGACACTTGGTGTAGTTCAAGTTGACCCCCCTGGTAGACCCCCTCTAACCTGGTCACACCTGACACTTGGTGTAGTTCAAGTTGACCCCCCTGGTAGACCCCCTCTAACCTGGTCACACCTGACACTTAATGCAGGTCAAGTTGACCTCCCTGGTAGTCCCCCTCTAACCTGGTCACACCTGACACTCCGACTTTTGATTTTTCCCGATTCTCTCCAGGCCTTAGGGGCTCCGTTCTGTCAAGCCATGACTTGCCAGAATGCGTACGTAAGCTTAAATCGAAAAATTGTGATAAGGTCTTGAAACTCGACAGGGGGGTGGGCCTGGGCCCTCCAACCACGTTGGCACTCCAACTCCTCCAACAAGAAGTTGACACGTCGAGACTAAAACTGAAGTATTTTGTGTTCAAAGTTCAAACCCAATTCACAAGGAGGGCTTCCTACAATGCAATATAATATAATGCAATAATTAATGGACAAAAAAAACGGAAAACAACATGTAGGAAAATATTTATATAACGTTATGGATGAAAGTAATTTGGCCTCCCTAATAGAGAAAGCAATATTATCAAAGTCAATGTTCCTTGAGGTTGGCATTGCCGAACGCATAAATATTTTTCTGGAACATATCGAGCCTGTTTAAGGATTTTACTCGCGCTTTAAACAACCGACAGTCTGGACAGTTTGAGTGAGTGAGTGAGTGGGTATTGTTTTATTCCAGCAATATCACGGCGGGGGACACCAGAAATGAGCTCCACACGTTGTACCCATGTCGGGAATCGAACCCGGGTCTTCGGCGTGACGAGCGAACGCTTTAACCACCAAGCTACCCGACCGCCCCTGGACAGTTTGAACGAGTTGGTGATTCGAGTTTAGCGGAGTTCTAAAATTGCTCTGCAAAAAGAAGAAATGCAAAAGTTTTAAAATCGTAAATATCTGACAGAGTGTTGCCGACAAACATACCAAATTAATGCCAAACATGAATTGGTCACCACCATGGATTGAGATTGATTTGTGTGGAAAGAATGTGGTGCCACAGAAATTTGGTGAAAAGATGAAAAAATCGCAACAACACCACCACGTGAGGGCCTGGAGTCGAAAAACAGCAACATCCATGTGCAACATCACTTCAAAATCGTTGGGTTTTCATTTGCACGCAATCATAATCTTACAGCCCAAAGCAACAACGCCATCAGTCGACTGCAAATAAGGGAATCATCTTGAGCTGCAAAGAGGTGAGGTGAGGTGAAATGGGGTTTAACGTCGCGTCCAAGATTATTGCACTTATATAGCGACGTGCATGTACGTGTGTGTGTTTGTGTGGCTGCTTGTACTAGACCAGACTGATGCCGATTTATAGTGCTAGCACACTGAGATACCATGTCGCAGTTAAACATGAATAGCCCACTCAGACACAGTATACTGATTCGGAGCGACCGGTCCTTGTTTTAGCCCCTTAATGCCGAGCGCCAGACAGGGTAACAACAAGTACCATCTTTTAACGTCTTTTAGTATGACGCGGCCGGGGATCGAACCCCGGACCTTCCGCTCTCCGGGCGGACGCTCTAACACTAGACCACGGAGCCGGTCCAGCTGCAGAGAGTTTTCCCACGTAGCATCAAGCACCATTATAAGACTGTAGAACCGTTATCAGGCGCCCGGGACACCGCGTGGCCTTACCAGATCCGGTCGACCACGTATCACTGCCAGAGCACGGGACAGATTCATACGGCTTTGTCACTAACATGAAAGAATCACTACAACTATGCCAATACCAGCATTGCATTGGATATGAGCCCAGACATCGAGGAACCGTTTACGCGCTGAATGGATTCGCGAGCTCGAGGCGTGATTTGGACGGACCTGGTTCATTGGCTGCGACATCAGTGGTGTCAGGGTCACAGAGTATGGCCACAACTGTGTCGGAGACAAGTGTGGTTTAGTGACGAGTCACGCTTCATGCTTCGCCGTGCGGATGGTAGACGCTGGTCGGGGAACGTTATGCGCGAAACTTCATATAGAGAGTGGAAAGATATGGTAGTGGTAGCGTGATGATGTGGGCAGCCATCTCCTACACTGGTAGAACATATTTGGCGCAAGTTCTGGATAATTTAACAGCACAACGTTACACGGATAAGATTCTTCGGCCACACGTCCTACCCACTGTGTAACAAGGGAACATTTTCCAAGAAGACAACCCCGGACCTCACACGGCAAAACTGACAACAACTTTTTTCGGGAATCACAACATCCGGGTCCTGCCATGTGTCTCCGGTCTCCCGATTTATACCCATTCGAACATCAAGATCTGGTTGCATCCATGGTACGGCGATGCCAGTCCTTCGTCCCACGATTGGTCAAACATTAATTCGGCGCGACATGGTCCGAATCGATCTCCAAATGTCAATTTAAGTTAGTCTTTTCCACTTCTACTTTCAGTTCCCAGTTCGGCTAACGTTGCGGGTGGCTTCTGATTGGCGCACACCTCTCTCGATCATATTCCAGACGAGTACTATGGGAAAAGGCCAGGACTCATTGCTGACCATTGCATTCTGGTCATGTATGGTGAGGGTGGTTTTCAGTTACGATATTTGCGTGACTTTGTTAGTACGTCTCCAGGCACGTTCACGCCTTTCCAGCAAGTCCCGCGTGAATCTGGACTTATCTGAACACATCACATGAGACCATCGGTGATTGCCCCAGTTTCATCGCCTTGAACACCATTGGCGTCTGGCTAGAATGTGGCGCTTACAACACGTGGTCGACGAGCATACAGGCGATTTGTAATTGTGACATTGCTGGGTTATAGTGAGTGAGTGAGTTGGGTTGAACGCCGCTTTTAACACTATTCCAGTTATATCACGGCGTGTCAGCTTAATGTGGGAGGAAAGCCCGAAGTGATGCAGGTCTCAGACGTTTACCAATTCGGTGAAACACACGAGCACGGGTATGGTGCTGACAAACCTAGAAACATAATCGGGGCGAACCGAGATTCTAACCCACAATCATAGGTTTCGGGCGTGCCCAAGGGACGCAACTCTGCACAGCGAATCGCGGCGCCTTAGACGACTGCGCCACCCGTGCCCCCTGCTGGGTTATAGCTGGAATCGGCCTTAAACCCAACTTACTCACTCACTCACAGCGTAGAAAAACATGTTTCAGACGTAAACCACAAACTTGGTAAAATCCATGAGTATTGGATTCTGGCCCACATTTTTGCACAGACACCATCCATACCCCTCCCTTGTCTTACATACAGTGAGTGAGTGAGTATTGTTTTAAATTTTGTTTAGCAATACTCCAGCAATATCACAAAATAGAACATATTTTAAGGACACACTACACTTTGATCCCAGCCAAAGGATATCTTTTTTTATGCAGTTGATGTAACAAATTCAACGGATAGGACAGGAAGACCCTAACAAAAGCCGTGGTGATAAATGGGGACTTTCTCTCAGCATCAATAAATCTCAGATTGTCTATTTCAGTACCGGAGTATGTTTACATATTTATGAAAAAAGTATTACAAAGGATCACAGATGAAAGTAGTGTCTTACTACAAATATTGAGGACTAGTGTTCAAACCAAAGCCGTATGGACTCGCGCAACAACAGCATCGGCACAGCACTCACTCACTCACTCACTCACTCACTCACTCACTCAATCACTCACTCAATCACTCTCTATATATGTGGTGGGCTTCCAATGAACGTTTCGGCCGCTTTATTTCACAGCATGGCATTAGCTATTTTGACATTCGGAGCTGAGATTTCGGGATTTCACCGTCTTGAATTTTTCGCAAATGAATCACGTTTCCATGAAAATCTGTTGCTAACAAATTCTGGTTCTGTTACACTAAATTTATTGTTTGTGTACTCCAAAAAGAAATAAAATCATTAAAAAAAGTAGTAAAAGGGTTTGCTTCAAAATTAGTCTACTTACTCGACGAACTTCGAAGCAAACCCGTTTTATTAGTTTATTACAGAATATTAGTTCACTTGTAGATGATGGATAATAACAAACAAAACTAGTCAAGTGTCAGGATGGGTTTACACGAATAGGTGGTGGTAGAGACACCAAAATGTCATGAACTGTGTGTATTTATATTGTGAATATGATATATGTGGATGTGATATGAATCGGTTATTTCTTGTTTGTTGTGTTGGAAAATTTGCTATGGAGTCGGAATGTTTAATTGAATATGGCTTGCCGTGTTACAGCTATAATACATTTAATACATCTTTTCTTTTATGTCGATCTCCTATAAAATTGTCAATTTTGAAAATTCGAGTTCTATTCCAGATTTGTCTTATTTTACTTTTATCTATATCATTAACAGATGTACGAAAACAAATATATTCACTCTAGGAAGTAAAGTAACCGGTCAATGACATCTCTTTTTGAATTTTGAATGGTATGATACATTGTTGAAACTAACTAACTAACCAACCAACCAACCAACCAACCAACTAACCAACCAACCAAGCATCCATCCATCCATCCATCCATACACACACACACACACACACACACACACACACACTTACGCACGCACGCACGCATCCATACATCCATCCATCCACACACCCACACCCACAAACCCCCCCCCCCCCCACACACACACACACACATGCATACATACATACATACATACATACATACATACATACATACATACATACATACATACATACATACATACATACATACATACATACATATATATATATTGGTTTTAAATTGCACCCGTTATGTCATCGGTGTTGTGTTTGTATTATAATTTTCTCACACGTGTACAACAATGTAGAATAGTGTTTGAATCTGCAGAAGTGTATATTATATCTTGTCATTTATGCCAGTGGCGTTTGGTTGAATATATCTATATCTAACATAGTTTTAGTTCTCGATTGATCAGATATGGTTTGCTTCAGTGGAATGCCAAACAATACAATGAAATGGACATTTACAGTCACTTTCATATTCCCCGTAGGCTTCAGTCAAGCAATAAATACTAGTGGTAACTGCCCGTGTATGTAGGCCAGGTACTATTCCAAATCCCCCTTTATTGGTAAAATGAATATGAGTGTGCTCTGCAATGTGGTTGAAAAATGTTGTGAAATGAGATATGATCCCAGACATTCTTCTGCGTAGAATACGTGTTGATTATATGTCTATCCCAATCCCAAAGTCGACAGGTCGAAAGGAAAACCACATGAAGAAATGTATAATTATGATCAAGATTTATCAGAACAAACTTGATTTAGTTGGGGTTTTCTCGACATATCCTTCAGTTATCATGGAAGGGTATGACGTCATCCATCGCATCCTGTCGTCATTATTGTCCAGAGTGACGTCATCCATTGTATCCTGTCGTCATTATTGTCCAGAGTGACGTCATCCATTGCATGATCTGATCATGCCTGTTTCAAAATTTACATCATCGAGAACCTATATAAGTATTAGTCAAGAACTGCCTTCCGATACGAAACTGACCCTACTTTCAAAACTGTTGGTCTAATTAAGTGAAAGTATGTAGGAGCCCGTGCTTGAAGTTTGATACAAGTGGTAAAACCGAGTTGACATCTTGACATAATTACATAAACATTCAAAATGTGAAAACGAATATTTTAATAGTATTGACTGGCTTTATGTTGTTGATCAGAATTCATTTTTGGCATTAGCGAGTAGATGTATATCGGCGGGCTGTGCATGAGGTCACCGTATGAGAATTTGTGCAATAAAATAGCTGATCATACGAAGACAAGGTTCAGAAACGTCCAGCAAAATTGCTTTTATGACGATTTCAAGAAGGAGTGAGTAAGTGAGTTTGGTTTAACGCCGCTTTTAACAATATTCCCGTTATATCGCGGCGTGTCAGCTTAAGGTGGGATCAAAGCCCCAAATAATACAGGTCTCAGAATTTTACCATTTCGGTGAAACCAACGAGCACGGGTATGGTGCTGACAAACCTAGAAACATAATCGGGGCGAACCTTGATTCGAACCGGCAATCATAGGTTTCTAGGCCTTAGACGACCCGTGCCCCCATTCCTAGAAGGGGACTGAGAACACAATACTGCATGATACTGCAGCTCCAGACGTTTCCCAGACATCTGGACGGCACACATTTCTCCACCTGTATCTGGTATCGATGACTTGTACTATAAACAAAACCGAAGATCTGGTATTGGTGAATTGTACTATGAACAACACCAAGGTATCTGGTATCAATGACTTGAACTATAAACAACAACCAAAGTATCTGGTATCGATGACTTGTACTATGTACAACACCAAGGTATCTGGTATCAATGACTTGAACTATAAACAACAACCAAAGTATATGGTATCGATGACTTGTACTATGTACAACACCAAAGTATCTGGTATCGATGACTTGAACTATGTACAATACAAAGGTATCTGGTATTGGTGACTTGTACTGTGAACAAAACCAAAGTATCTGGTATCAATGACTTGTACTATGTACAACACCAAGGTATCTGGTATCAATGACTTGAACTATAAACAACAACCAAAGTATCTGGTATCGATGACTTGTACTATGTACAACACCAAAGTATCTGGTATCGATGACTTGAACTATGTACAATACAAAGGTATCTGGTA